TGCTCTCTCCTTTATTGCTCCCTGGAGACAGTCTCTCAGTGAACCATTTTTGTTGTGGTTCTGTGTTGTGTTGTATTTGTTTAAGACAGAGTCTCTCTGTATAGTCCTGGCTGTCCTGGAACACACTCTGTAGACTAGACCTCAAACTGACATTTGCCTGCCTCTACTTCCAAGTGCTGGGATTAAGGATGTGCAGACCATGCCAGACTTATCAAGGTTCCTTTTTAGGCTAAGCTGGCAGCCAGCAAGGCCCAGTGATCTTCTTGCCCCCATGCCACATCAAAATCCCCCAGTGCCGGGGTTCTAGGCACACATTGTATCATGCCCAAGATGTACAAGATGAAAACAGGGAACCAGCTTCTACAAGTTGTCCTTAGACCGCCACTCTTGTGCTACGGCACATGTGTACATACACAATAAATAAATGTGAAAAAATATTTTTAAACCGAGTACTGCTATGTGCTCCAACATGAGCCTACCTTGAAAACACAAGTGAAAGGAGTCAGTCATAGAAAAACACACGCGACTCCATTTACATAAAATCCCCTCAAGGAGGCATGTGTATTAAGGTAGAAAACAAAGTAGTGATTTCTTGGGGTTGGAGATGAGGGAGGGGTGGGATTGGAAATAATAAGCTAAAGGGCACATTCTCTCTAGGGTGATGGAATTATTCTAAAATTGATCACAGTAATAGTTGCATAACTCTGCAAATGTACTCAAAAGCATGGAGCTGTGCATTTCCAATGAGTTGTTCATACGAGTTATATCTTAGCAGCACTCTTCAAAAGAATTAACAAATACCCTAATCGAAATAAGAGGCATGATTCTGGAACATACAACCACGAACACTTACAATGACTTCTTCAAATTACACGAAATTACAACAAGAAGGAATAGCTGGGTCCTGGCCTCAGCTTTGATATACCTTCCTTTGAAGTCAGCGGAATTCTCAGAAGCAGTGAGGACATCCATGTGTGCTACTTGGCCAGCCCCTTCCTGGGGAACAGGGGTTGTGCTCATGGGACCCATTCTGTGTGTGGGGGTGAGAGGAGAGAGAGAGAGAGAGAGAGAGAGAGAGAGAGAGAGAGAGAGAGAGAGAGAGAGAGAGAGAGAGAGACTTCCTGTAGGCAATTCTGACTGAAATGTTTTTTTCCCTTCCGCTTCCTTTAAATGTGTGCAGCATCGTCACCAGGTCCCTCCCAGGTCCCCCACTGTTGAAGGCCAGGGGCTACCTGGTGTGTTGGGGAGAGACCAAGGAACTAAGAAACTCAGTAAAGATATTTGCATCAAATGGCTATCAAAACTGATCTGGAATCCATAGCTCCCAAGTCGGGCTCATGTTCAAAATACCCCTAGGAGGTCTTTAAAGGTTAGATTCTCAGTATCCACTCCTAGTAGTTAAAGCTTACTCTCTGGGAGAGGATCCTGGGAGCCTGTGTGCTGGGGTGGGACATAACCCAGCAGGGTAGGACATTTGCCTAGTGTTGGAGCCCTGGCTTCAATCTCCACCAGCACAACTCAAAGTCCAAAAATGCTTCTGGTCTTAACAGGCCACTCCATGGACCCATGGTCAAAGATCATTTAGTGCCCAGTGACCATTAGCAGCCCAACAATAAGGTCACCATGGCAAATGGTACCCCAGGAAATAGAACTATTACTGGAAATATTTTCCAAGCATTCAAATTAGTGTCAAAAAGACCTAAGAAGAAACTGCATAAAACAAGCAGGTGGCTCCCCTTTCTCCCCAGTTCCTGCCCGTCTCCTCCGGCACACTCAGGTGACAGTCACGGGTCCGAGCAGCCTATCCCCTTGATAGCCATCATTCCCAACCCGGAAGCCATGGCCAGCATGGCCAGCCTGGAGGTTCCACACCCTGCCCCAGTCTGGAAGCGAGATTAGTTGAACAAAAGAACACAAGAGTGAATGCGGAGAAATATTCACATCACACCAGTAGCAAAAAAGGACTGTGTTTCAAGACTGTACACACAGAATGATGCCGATTTTGATAAAATTAAGAAGGAGCAGGTGGAGATACCTAGAGCATGAATGTAAGCTAGAGTGGTTATATTCACTTTTGAATGGAGACCTGGAAAAGGCTGTAGCTCCCTGACCCTCTCAGCTGGAAATCTCCCTTGTCTCGGGGAGCCCTGTGTCCCACTGGGATTCATAGGATTGGCTTGCAGGATTTGGGAACATTAAATGAAATGATTCAGGTGACACACGGGAGACAGTTCATGCACCTAGTGAGCGCTCAACAAACGCAAGGTTAGTGAATTCCTCCTCCTTATCCTCCAGCACCAGGACGAGCGAAGTCCAGGCAGCCAGACCGCAGACCATCTCTAGTTCAGCCTGCTGCTTTTCCATTACCCCTCTGTCCCGTGTGTGTGTGTGTGTGTGTGTGTGTGTGTGTGTGTGTGTGTGTGTGTGTATACAAACTGTGAAGAGCCAAATGTGCTGGAATAAGCTAGAGAGCAGGGAAGCCAGAACCCTCCTGAGGGCCCAATTCCTTGTGTGCTCTGCCTTTGGAATCTGGGTCAAGTCTGCTTCTGTTGCAGGACCCACTCCAACTTCGTAAAGAACTTGTAGACAAGTTAAAAGAGCGCTGTTGGGAAGGCTTGCACTCGGCTATCAAAGCCCAGCGCTGGCCGGAGAAAGACCCTCCTGTCAGTTTTCTTACTGCGGCGGAGGAACAGGCCCCTCCAGGCATGGAGGAAATGAAGAGCCCAGCAGGGCTGTGGTCTGGGGAAGGGGTGCAACTCTTACTGTGCTTCCTTGGAAGGCCAGGTTTGCACAGGCCTTTGGGGCAGCTGCTGTCCAGCTGGGATTTGGAGGAATAGAGACTTGTCCCTTTCTGTCACCTCAGCACTGATGCTCTCCTAGGGTCTGTCTCGGAGAAGAGACGGCTCCCATGTCCAACGGGGAGAGGTTAGATTACAGCCTCCAAAGTGGGCCCACAAGACGGCAAAGCCACCTGGACTTACCCTTCCCATCTAGTCCCTGAGCCAAAGGAAGCGGGCGATTGAGCTGTCCTGACACAAGTAGACCCTGATTTAACCTGAGAGCTGGCTAATGGGGAGATCCGTGGTTACAAAGGCAGGCCTCTGAAAGATGAACTGGGGCATGATTATTCCAACCAAGTGAGGCAGAACCAAATGCAGCTGGCAGCGGCGGCCGGCAGCAGGTGGTGTCCATTGACTTGCTGGGCCTGGAGGAAGGGGCCAGAGAAGGTGTCCCAACGGAAAGAGCACCTGCTCGTAGCCTCCCTGCCATGGTGGGCGCTTGCTTTTCTGGCTTGGATTGCCAAGAAAGCGGTCCACTGGCAGCCTGGCCCAGAGGCACTTACCAAAGGTGGTGAGATAGAAGGACAAGTTCGGGTGGGCGCGCCGGCTCCCGAGGGAGACGCGGTGCAGGGAGCGCTCCATGGCGTCCCTGTTGCGGCCAGGGCAGGAGGGCCTGTCCCCAGGCCGTGGCTGTGTAGCTGCAGGTAACCCAGGCAGCAGACTCAGCCGTTCCCCCTCGCTCCGGCGGCGTCTCCCAGGCGGGCGGGATCCCAGGCCGGCTGCACCGCGCGTTGGAACGGCCGGGCGCGCCAGCCCCTGATTGGCCCGCGCTGGTTTGAATGGGGAGATTTCCACCTGACCTAGCTGACGCGGGCCAGATCCGGGGAGGCGTGGGCTCCTGGAGCAGGGAGGACTGCCACTAGCCACCAGAGGTGGCTCCTTCTCGGTTGATCCCGCAGGAACCCTAGCTCCAGCACCCGCATCTCAAGCTGCAGGTGCCAACCCAACTCTGGCCCCGCCGCCTGGCTTGCCCACTTGAGCAAGCTTGGCCTGCTCGCCCAGCTCCCCCAGGCTGCAATTAGTTAGGTTTGTAACCGGCTTTGAAGCTCAGACGTGTAATCGCCAGACCAGCCCGGAGCAAAGGAGTGCCTGCCCTCCGGAGTGGCCCAAGAGGGCATGGGATCGGGGAACATGAAACTGCACATAGACAGGCTGCCCGCACCAGGCTGCATGCAGCCTGGATCGCTCTCTTGAGCCTCCTTTTCATGAGAGCAACGTGGCACAGGTCCAGAGAGGAGCAGCTTGCTCCATCCAGCCTCAGGGCTTCCCATCTGCAGCCTGGCGCCATCAGACAGAAGAGCAAGACTCGCCATCTGCAGATACAGTGCGGGGCAGGGCCTTTCAGTCTTCCCAACCTGGCGCAGGAAGGCAGATAGAAGGAAGGTCAGTCCTTGCATGGATTTGTCGGCAAACATTCATGAGACACCTCGAGGGAGCAGTTTCACACCAAGACATCTGCTCTGCAAATCTCTGCTGCCACTGTGGGAAGGAAAGCTGTTGGTCTCATGTAAACCTAAAAACGGGAAGTGTTAGAGTTGGTTGCTGGTCCCGACTTCATTGCCAGTGGATATTTGTGGGTCTGTGAGCCACTCAAGACAAGATCAGAGGAATGCAAGAATATAGTGCCAGGAGCCGAGCTGAGCAATTCACACACGTGTCACTTAGACTTCACAGTAAGCCTTAAAAGTATTAGCTACAATTTGCCAGGGAGATATCTGCATCTCAGGCAGAAAGAGAAGGCAGCTTGCCCAAGATTTGCAGAGCTGCAATTTGAACTCAAATCTGTCTGCCCCCAAAGACCATTACCCTTTGTTCTCTTCCATGGCCTCCACACATGCCCCATGGCCAAGAGCAGGCATGGGCAACAGACCTGCCTTTATGAGGACAAGAAATTGGATGCCATAAGTTCAGTTGCCCATGGGGTGGGGTGGGGTGGGGAGAGCGGAGCAGAAGCTGGAGAAGTCTACCTGAGGTTAGCAAATACACAGTCAAGTGCAAATGAGCCCCATACTAAGGCCAGTGCACTATTTGACGGTGGTATTTTCTGAACTCCTGTCCTGCTCTTCGCCTCCACCTCATCCCCCTGAGCTACCAACACTACTACCCTGAGCAGGAGCAGCCCACCCTCCTAGTCCTAACCCACTGGCAGATAGACTTTACCTATACCCTGGACCTGGGCACGCCTGATCCTCCTCCTAGGTGGGTAGGTCTGGGTCCAGGCATCCTTTCTGGACAAGGGAGTATCGTGCTGTGGCCACTCCATCCAGCCAGAGAAAATGGACAGCTCTAGCTTCAAACAATGGATGCAAACAGGGGGCCGAGTTCCAAAGTGCTGCAGACCTGCAGGATGGAGAGCAGAAGTTAGATATGCCCCCTGCAAGGGGTGTTCAGTCCCGGTGAGAGCTATGCATAATGCATCACGTGCACACATATATGTCATACAAATGCATACTCCATATGTGTGAACACACGTGCACGTACACATACACACACGTACACTATACATGCTCCTGATGCACAGGCACAAGAACACACATATATACCATACAAATATATACCAAACACACTTCAATATACTGCCTACATATACCATATCCATAGGAATAGATCGAACATAGCCTGGCTTCGTAAGAATCAGAAATATTTGAGTTTAGAAGGGAGGACTAAAAAGATTGCTTTGGGAACATTTTTCACACTGACTAACACAGAGTAACATATCTTCTTGCCCAATAACCAAAATAGTTTTTTAAAAAAATAATAGGACAGGATGCTTGGACTGCCATGGTGGTTAATTTTACATGTAGACTTGGCCAGATTGGGATCACCTGGGACAGGAGTCGCCATGAGGGACTGTCTAGATTGGATTGACCTATGAGGAGTTTTCTCCGTCGGGTTAGCTGAGGTGGTGAGACCCACCCTGAGAAGCACTGTTCTGTTGGCAGGTCCTGGATGGAGCGAAAGGAGGCAGACCAAACACCAGTGATCCTTGCTCTCCGCTTCCTGACTGTGGGAGCCGTGTGACCCACTGGGGTGACTTCCTGCAATGATGGGCTGCCACCGGAACTCTGAGTGAAAGCAACCCTGTCTCCCCTATCTTGACCTTGTCAGAGCATTTCAATCACAGTAACCGGAGAAGAAACTGAAACGGACCACTATTTTAATAATGTCATGCCAGGAAGAAAAGACAAATCAACAATGGATTACCAAAATTCCAAGGAAAAATACTTTATTTAGGAAACAACAAAGTAGTTTCATTCAAACAATTAGAAGGTTAAGTCCAAATTGGATGAAACTCTTAACAGGAAGTAACAAAGAAAGTTCAAAGAAAAAAAAAAAAACAGACTCAAACAATAAAACCAAAGTCTGGTTTTTCAAAAGACCAGTAAAGCAGAACCCCCTTGAAAAACTACAAATAAAAAAAAAAAAAGAAAGAAAGAAAAAGAAAAACTAAAAATAAACAACAACAACAACAAAAAAAAAAACGATCCTAAGATATGACAGTAACTTCTTAATTATTTAAAAAAAAAAATTGTCGGTCTAGGGATGTAGCTCAGTCAGTAAATGCTCGCCTAGCATGCACAAAGCCCTGGGCTCAGCCCTCAGCACCTTAGAACCCGGACGGATGCTGTGATGACCACCTGTAATCCCAGCATCTGGAAGACGGAGTAAGAGAATGAGAAGTTCAAAGCTATCCCTATCACACAGTCATTTCATGGCCAGCCTGGGCATGAGACCCTAGCTCTCAAAAACAAAGCAGTCAAACCTTTTTAAAAAGATTTATTCATCTTAGCCGGGCGGTGGTGGCGCACGCCTTTAATCCCAGCACTCGGGAGGCAGAGGCAGGCGGATCTCTGTGAGTTCGAGGCCAGCCTGGGCTACCAAGTGAGTCCCAGGAAAGGCGCAAAGCTACACAACACAGAGAAACCCTGTCTCGAAAAAAAAAAAAAAAAAAAAAAAGATTTATTCATCTTTATCTTGTGTGGATGTGTGTTTGCCTGCATGTGTGTATGTGCGCCATGGGTGTGCCTCATGCCCACAGAAGGTATCGGATACTCTAGAACTAACCTTACTGAAGGTTGTGATCCACCCAAGCCCAGGTCCTCTGTAAGAGCAGCAAGTGTTCTTAACTGCTGAGCCATCTCTCCAGCCCCAAGTATAACCTTGGTCTACAAATTTGTAAGTTTAAAAGTCTGGGGAAATGGGTGGCTTTTAGGAAAGGAAACTTCAGGAAAAGTCCAGGTGCTCTGACGGAGGATGTTCCTGCTCACATACAGGTCTGTAGTGTTTACGAGGTCACCAGCCAGAAAGAAAATAGGAAACAAAAGCAAACTTATATCTGCAAAATTCTATTTAGTTTTAGAGGTCTGTTCTCTATGACCATCAAGAAGATGCTAATGCAATTTAAACTATTTCAGAACCAAAACAAAACCAAAACAACAACAAAAAAAAACCCCACAAATCAAACCAAACAAAACAAAAAAAACCCACAAACCAAACCAAACAGAACAAAAACAAAAAGCTGGAAGTTTTGTCAGTGCCAACTAAGAGGTTAGACAAAGACAAAAGACAAATAATCTTAGCAACAGAAAGCAAAAATAAGGCCTGGAGAGAGGGCTCAGTGGTTAAGAGCACCAGCTGCTCTTCCAGAGGACCTGCGTTCTATTCCCAGCACCCACATGGTGACTCACAACTGTCTGTAACTCCAGTCTCATGTGACCTCCATATGCACTAGGCATGCATTTAGTACACTTACATACATGCAGCAAAAACACCCACACATAAGTAAATCTAAAAAATAAAATAAAGACAGAAGTTAATAAAATAGAAAACACACCATAAAGAAAATCCATAAAAGGGGGTAAAACTGGATCAAAATACTCCCAGTCTTGATACATTCCTTAGAAAGAAAGTCCATTTTAATGTATTATATCCCACTTTCTTAATATTGGCAACTCACTTAGAGGCTATAGGCCAAAGAGAATACATCTGTGCCACACCACTGGTTTGAAATCTCTGCACAGACCAACCTGACTTACAAATATGTCAATGCAAAAACCCTAAATATGCACAAGCCAAAGCCAACAGTTTATTCATGGTCAAGTGGTATTTCTTCCAGGAATCCAAAGATGGCTCAAATTTGGTAAATGTATTAGTCAGGATTTGGCAAACTACTGCCTAACAAGCCGAATCTGGCTGGTAGCCGGTCTGGGAACAACAGGTGAACTGAGAGTGGATCGCACATTTGCAAGTGGTTGGGTAAGGACATAAGCAAATAAATATGCTGGTACAAACCTGGGATCCCCAGACCTCAGGAGACTGAGGCAGGAGGATTATATGGTTGACACCAGCCTGAGGCTACGTAGTGTGACACACTATCTCAAGCAAATAAACAACTACTTTTCTCTTGCCACTGGAAAAGGTACAAACATTTCTAACTGACAGATGAGTTAAGGACTATGGATGAAGCGCAATGGCAGAGAGCTTGCCTGGCTTGTGTAGACCCAGGGCTCAACCCTGAATGAAAAGGAAAAAAGTTTAAATAAGAATTGTGAAATCTCGCCTTTAATCCCAGCACTTGGGAGGCAGAGGCAGGCGGATCTCTGTGAGTTCGAGG